ATGTTTGTTAACAAACTACTTAAATTTGATGAGTTGCCAGGTAACTTAACTTTAGGAGAAAATCATCATGTCATTTAGAAATTTGAAAGCATGTGGGGATTACTTGTCTCTGAAGAACAAAACAGTCAAGTGAAAACATTACATCAAGCTTTAGAAGAGGCATTTCAGGTTTCTAGATATTTGCTGATAATGATAGGGGCAATTTGTTCTGGTATTTACAAAGTGTCAAGCAATGAATATTACTTCTTTGACTCTCATTCACATGACAGTGAAGGCATGTCTGCATATGATGGTAAATCGGTACTAGTACAAAGCAAGAGTATCAATGATTTGGTGTCATATTTATACAGTATGTATAGCAGCATGCATATAGACTTAGCAATGCAGTTTGAAATCTTACCAATCTCGATTAAGACTTTGCATCATAGTTTTCCAGAGAAAACCCCATTGCAGAGAAGATTTTACAAAATGGATGATCATCTCTCATCTGTGACAAATTCAGAAGATCAAAACTTATGCAGAAAAAGTTATATGAGAGAGTACATGAGGAGAAAAAGAGAGAATGTACAATTTAAGGTAGTAGAAAGAAACAAAGACGCACATGCAAAAAAGCTGAAGAGACAAAATGATGATATAAAAAGCAAAGAAACTGAAATGGGAACAATTGCAAGGAAATTAAAAAGGCAGAATGCTGAAATAAAAAAGAAAGAAAATGAAAGGGAAACAGCTGCTAGAAAGTTAAAACGACAGAATGTAGAAGTAAAAGAGAAAGAAAGGAAATCCAATACAGCTGGTAGGAAGTTAAAACGACAGAATGTAGAAGTAAAAGAGAAAGAAAGGAAATCCAATACAGCTGGTAGGAAGTTAAAACGACAGAATGTAGAAGTAAAAGAGAAAGAAAGGAAAACCAATACAGCTGGTAGAAAGGTTAAAAGACAAAATGTAGAAATAAAAGAAAAAGAAAGGAAAATGAATACAGCTGGTAGGAAGGTAAAAAGACAAAATTTAGAAATAAAAGAAAGGGAAAGGGAAATGGATAATGCTGGTAGAAAGGTGAAAAGACAAAATGAAGAAATAAAAGAAAGAGAAAGGGAAATGGATAAGTCTGCAAGAAAGTTAAAGCGACAAGATACTGAAATTAGAAAGAAAGAAAGGATAATGAATACTGCTGGTAGAAAGTTGAAGCGACAAGATGCTGAAATTAAAGAGAGAGAAAGGAAAATGAATACTGCTGGTAGAAAGTTAAAGCGACAAAATCCTGAAATTAATGAGAGTGAAAAGAAATTGAATACGGCTGGTAGAAAGTTAAAACGTCAGAATGTTGAAGTGCAAGAAAGAGAAAAAGAGGGCAGTAGAATTTCTAAAAGAATATGCAGAGAAAACCCAATTGTTCTTGAAAAAGAACGGCTAAGAAAGCAAGCTAAACGAAATAACATTTCATTCAGAGAAAATGAGAGATTGATAAATAGGGAACAGAAACAGAAGAAAAGAGCAGATATAGAATATTGTGAAAAAGTAAATGAACAACAGAGACGGAAAAGATTTGGAGTAGATATAGAGGATTGCATCCAAATTTTTCATGAACAGATTAGACATGGTCCAATTTTTGTATGCTCCTGTTGTCAGCAAACATGGTTCAAAGAAAGTGTTTCTAAAGTGGAAAACACCAAACTAGATGACAATAGTAAAAGCAAGTTTCTTACTAGTACTGTGTCTGTAGAAAATATGGAATGGATTTGTAATACTTGCTATTCATCAATGAGAGAAAACAAAATTCCAAAGTTGTCTGTCTTAAATGGTATGACATGGCCACTTAAGCCAATGGAATTAGACTTGTTTCCTTTAGAAGAAAGACTGGTATCTCTGAGAATACCTTTTATGCAAATTAGAGAGTTGCCAAGGGGTGGGCAATATTCTGTAAGAGGAAACATTGTGAACGTTCCAGTTGATATTCAACCTACTGTAAATAGCCTGCCAAGAAAATTAGATAAAAATGTCACACTTCCTGTCAAATTAAAGAAAAAGTTGTCATATCAAAAATGTGATTATCATGAAAATGTACGACCAACAAAAGTACTGATGGCATTACACTGGCTTATGAACAATAGTGACTTTTACAAAAATGCAAATATCAATGTTGATGATAACTGGTTTCAAGAAATTACAACTTCAGCAAGTGAAATTGTTCAGGAATTAGTGAAAACACAAGAGAGAAGCAACCAAAATACTGATTATCATGAACCGGTTGATAATGACGTCGATGAATTCTGTGAAGTAGATGGTGTTGGTAGAGATGGTAATTGCGATACTCTGTTAGATGATGCTTCACAAGACATGAATCAGGTTTACACATTTGCTCCAGGTGAAGGACAACGCCCACTTAGTTTATATCAAGATCAGACAGCTGAGTATTTATCATTTCCAACAATTTTTTGTGGAAAGGGAAGATTACAAGATGATGAAAGACAAATACGTGTGTCCTATGCAGATATTGCTAAATGGGAATTACGAAGTGTTGATAGACGTGCTGCCCAGTCTGTTCCAAATTTGTTTTTCAAGTTGAAAAAAATACAAATGAAGCAAGTTACAGACAAATGCAACCTGGCTCTTAGGAAATGCAAAACCAAAGGAAAATCCATGACAGCAAATGAAATGAAAAATCCCGAAAATGTGAATAATCTTGTTAGACACAATGAAGGTTTTTTGTGTTCAGGCAGTTACAAAATTCACCTGCATATCTTGAGACTAGAAAAAAAGATGTTTTTGCTATGATCAGACAGGTAGGTCTACCAACATGGTTCATGTCACTATCTGCAGCTGATACAAGATGGAATGATCTCATCAGAGCACTTGGAGTGTTAAATGATGGAAAAGAATACACTGATGAAGAAATCGACAACATGACTTGGTTTGAAAAATCAAAATTAGTACAAAAGGATCCCATCACTTGCTCTAGGTACTTTGATCATAGGTTCCGAATGTTTATGAATTCAGTGTTGAGAAGTGATCATCATCCAATTGGCGTTGTAAAAGACTTCTTTTACAGAACTGAATTTCAGCAAAGAGGATCACCACATATTCATATGATTGTTTGGATACAAAATGCACCAAAATATCATGAAAATAATGAACAGGAGATAGTAAATTATGTAGATAGTTACCTGAAATGTGAAAAGAATGAAGAGGATGAGTTGACTGACTTGCAAGTGCACAAACATTCACAGACATGCAAAAAGAGAGGTAAAGCTGTATGTCGATTTGGTTTTCCCCTTCCTCCACTTGAAGAGACTTTGATTTTGGAGCCATTAGAGTGTGATGTCGACAAGTACAAGAAAATGTATGATGATATTCAAAAACAGTTAAATGATATGAAAAATGGATGTGATTTGCCCTACAAGGAACTCCTGAGCACAGTACTAAAGATATCTGAGGAAGATTACATTAAATGCATAAGAAGTTCACTGAGAGGTCCAAAGGTTTTTCTAAAAAGAAATCCATGTGATATGAGGGTAAACTCATACAACAGTGTTGTTCTTGATGCTTGGAAAGCTAACATTGATATTCAGTATATTTTGGACCCATATGCATGTGCAATGTATATAGTTTCCTATGTGCAATGTATATAGTTTCCTATATAAGTAAATCACAAAGAGGGATGAGCGATTTACTAAACAGAGCAGCAAAGGAAGCTAGAGAAGGAAATCTTGACATAAAAAGACAAGTACGTCATATTGGGAATCATTTTCTTAACAGTGTAGAAGTTGGAGCACAGGAAGCAGCATATTTAGTGTTACAAATGCCAATGACCAAAGCATCAAGAGATGTTGTTTTTTGATCAACACAAGTCCATCAGATGACCGAGTAATTCTGATCAAAACAGATGCTGAATTGGAAAAGTTGACGCCGAATTCTACAGATGTGGAATGTAGCAATATCATTAAGCGGTACACAAAACGCCCAAAGCAGCTTGAAAACTGGTGTTTAGCCGATTATGTATCACAGCTAGATGTTATATTCCCTAAAGATAATGAAAAAGAGTTCACTGAAAATGAAGTGAATGATGATGATCAGGACAATCAGTCAGATGATGAAGACAATTCAGATCTTGATTTTAGTGAAAGTGATACACTTGTTACTCTGAGAAATGGCATAAAAATAAGACGACGAAAAGTACCAAGGGTAATTAGATATGTGCGGTTTAATATCAAAACTGATCCAGAAAATTACTATAGAGAAAAACTTATGTTGTTTATGCCTTGGAGAAATGAATCCATTGATCTAATATCAGGAACTGACACATTTGAGAAGTCATTTCATCTGAAGAAGTCTTTTCTTACACACAGGATCAAGGAATATGAATTCAATGCTGAACAACTTGATGCAGCTTTGCAAATGGCAATTGAGGATTTTTCAGAAGCTTATGATGAATTGGCACCAAATGCTCAACAAAGAGAAAAAGATTATGAAAATGAGGGATCTCTTGAATCTGAAAACTTTGTTCAATTTAATCCTGACAGGCCTATTGAACAGAGACGGTACGATATAGGATCAGATATTGGCATTCCATCAACAAGACAACTAACAGAAGAAAGTTCTATTAGATTACCAGACAGTGAATACTTGAAACTTTTAGGAAGTCTAAATATGTAAAGCAACAGGAATTTTTTAATCATGTCTTGCAGTGGGTCAAAACAAAGAAAGAGCTTATTTATTCATTTCTATCTGGAGGTGCTGGTGTTGGCAAATCTGTTCTGATAAGAGCACTTTATCAAGCTCTGCACAGATATCTATGTTCCATAGAAGGTGAAAATCCAGATGACATAAGAATACTTCTTTGTGCTTATACTGGCAAGGCTGCATACAACATTGGAGGGGCAACTATAGCATCTGCTTTCCATCAAAAAATTAATCAAAATCAGCAAAGCTTGCATTGTGATGAATTGAATACTTTTCGTACGAAGTACCAAAACCTAAAATCGATCATAATTGATGAGATATCGATGGTTGGAAATAGGTCATTAGCACTCATTGATAGTCGTCTACAACTTCTTACAGGCATCAAGAAACCATTTGGTGGCATTAGCATCATAGCTGTTGGTGATTTCTTTCAACTAAAACCTGTGATGGACCGTTGGATCTTTCAGGATTTAAATCATGATGCTCAAGCTCTTGCAAACAATCTTTGGAAGGAACATTTTTGTATTTTTGAGTTGGATGAAATAATGCGCCAAAAAGATGATCTTGAGTTTGCTCAACTTCTCAATCGTCTTCGATACAATGCAATGACAGCAGAAGATATGAACGTAATACACAGCTGCATGATAACAGAAACGAGTGACAATTATCCACATCATGCTCCTCATCTCTTTACACAGAATTCCAAAGTAGATGCATACAACAATCAGTTGATTGAAAAACTTGAAGGAGAAAAGGTGACAGTGAATTCAGTGGATACTGTTCTTAAGGATTATTCAAAGGAACTGAAGGAAAAGCTGTTGAGGTCTCTATTGAAAGCAGATGATGTTAGCAAAACTGCCAATCTGATGCAAAAATTGACTCTTGCTGTTGGGATGATATATGATATCTCAGTCAATGTTGATGTATCTGATGGTTTAACAAATGGGTCATCATGTAAGGTACAATTAATTGAAAGGAGAATGGAAGGCATATCAAGACCAAGCATCGTTTGGGTAAATTTTTTTGACTCTGCTATTGGAAAAATAACTCGCAAGAAATACAAACATTTGTTTCATGATGGAATTACTGAGGACTGGATACCAATTTTTGAAGTTCAGCGGTCTTTTGTATTGAATTACAATACTTTTCAGAGAATTCAATTTCCATTACGACCAGCTGCAGGGAAAACAGTTCATAAAGCCCAAGGCTGCACTGTTGATGAAATTGTGATTGATTTGTCTCCGACTAAAGTAAGGAAAAATCCTCATATTCATTATGTAGCACTAAGTCGGGTACGTTCAGTAGATCATCTTCACATCCTAAATTTCAATGAGCAGGCATTGGCTATGGATGAACAAGTGGTAGAGGAAATGGAAAGAATGAAAAAAGATGTACCACTACAACTTTGTTATGTCCCATTATACCAAGTTGATTTGCTTTCAACATTTGTAGATCACTTCATAAACACTTTGTGCAAATTCAAAATGAACCAAATATTGTTGCTTCAGATGTAGTTGGATTCTCAGAGACAAGATTAACTAGTGCAGATATAGCAGAAAATTATCAACTACAGGGATACACGGCAGTATTTAACCATGAGTGTACAGATAATCTGGATAGACGTCCACATCATGGAACAGCAATATATGTGAAAAATGATTACAAAACAACCTGCATCTCAAAGCTGAATAGTGGTTCTATGGAGTTCATAATGGTAAATATACAACTAAACCAAAGTAGAGATGTCCAAGTTGTAGTAATTTACAAATATCCATCTTGCTCTTTTGGGGATTTTAAACAACTTGTGGAAATGCATATAAAACCCTTGATTGATGACCAGAGAGACTTGGTATTCTTAGGAGATTTTAATTTTGATTTGTTTTCTGGGCAAACAGAATTTTTAACATTTATGGAAAAAGGCTTTAATTGTAAACAAATTGTGAGTAAGACTACTCATGACTCTGGTTCTAAACTTGACTTGATTTTTACAAACATATCCCCATGTGGAACAGATGTGATTGAAGCATACTGGTCAGATCATAAAATGGTGTACTGCGCATTTGATAAGACTTTGCATTAAATACAATGGGGCACCGAAGTAAAACGTTTTAGAGGTAGATGCGTAAGAATGCCCCCTCCCTCATTCCCTTTGTCCCAGTCTTTTATTATACCCCTCAAAGTTCGAGGGGTATATTAGAATCAACATGTCCATCTGTCTGTGGTTTTGTCAATATCTGAAGGTTCTTTTTTTTTTTAAAAATTTTTATGATAATTTCTTGACCACCTAGAAAAGTAATTCAGACAAGACAAAGGTTAGAGAGTTCAAATTATATAATTCTGACAAAATTTTGGTTTTGGATTAAACACCAGGACATACTTTGGCAAAGGTTGCTTGAGAAGAAGGGGTCTGTCATGATCTCATGCCTTGATTGTTTGTTTAAGGTCGTATGGTAATATGATGGTAGAGATTATCATGACCCTCAGCTATAATTACAGTCATCTCAACAAAATTCAAGCAATGGGAATCAATTTAGCAAGATTGCAAAGAAGTATATGTCTTTCCAAGTTGCCTTGTTGGGGTATTAGTCCTATTTAGGCAGTTTTAGGTGCCTTTCGCCTTGTTGGGGTATTAGTCCTACTTAGGCAGTTTTAGTTGAAAGCCACCTTATAAAATATAAATTATATATTTTTTATTATAAATTAAACCTTTGAAAATATGAATTTGTACTTCATCTTTGTAATATTATACATGTTTTTGAGATGAATTTTAAACCGCAGCTAGGTTAAGGACTCCCATATATACGTCAGCCTATGCAGAGGTTCGATAAAGCTATTATGACGTCACGTTAAAACAATACAAATGAATCTCGATGAATAAATACTATATGTTCTTTTTAAAACACATTAAATATACTTTCGTTTATCATAAATATTATAAAGATAAATGGATGTGCAACTTATCTTGCCATAATAGCACTTAGCGTATGTAGAATGAAAGCCAGCTTGATCTCGCTGTACTTACTGAGATGACGTCATTTCTTAGTTTGACACGCAGTTTCTCTGTACTTGAGGCGTGGATCAAGCTTTTATCGTAGCTTGTAAAGATAAAAATAAATACGAAACACGCGTAGTCGGACCAAAAGAGAGAAATATTCTGAAATATATTAATCCACATTTTATTGTCAAACTAAATTGATAATGTGTAGACTTTATATTAGGCCGTAGGGAGCACATTTGTACAGTAACATGCTAGAATGACAGGTCCAGCCTCTCAAAAATATCAAAAGTTCAACGATATCCGCTTCACTATAAATTCTGAATTTTTAAACACGTGTAGCTATTATCCCTACTATTCTGAAAAGTGCTGGGAGCTGGTTGTGCATTGTTGATTTATTCCATAATGTAACATTACTCCAATGCGAATTACATTTTTGACTGGAGTTTTTAGAAAGACGGCTAAATTTTAAAGAATTCCCGAGCATGAGGAAGTTGCTCCCAGCACTTTTCGTGTTAAGGAATTTGTCTCAAGGAAAAGAGAATAAATTTTATAGCGGAAAAATGCCCGTATATCGTTGAACTTTTACGATCTTTGTAGTAGTACATATATGTTCTAATTTTAAAACTGTCACGTGACAAACAGCTGATGTAAGCTATGTCGTTTTGTCCGAACTCAGCAGAGACCCGATATATACAAGTGCAAACACCACATACCACATTTATCAAAACTAATGCTGTTAAAAAAAATATTAAAATTGTATTCATTTTCCCTGAATATATTAAGGCGTATATTTCATGGGCGTCCTTAACCTAGCTGCGACCTGACTGTCCTTTGCATATTTAATTCTTATTGTATTGATGTATATAATTATGTTACTGGCTTAATTAAGATTTCCTTCGTAAAAAATAAATAATTTCATTTTTTTTTCTCCTATTACAACAAGTTGCACTAAATTCTTAATGCATATTTAAAATTAAAATGAGAAGGTCATACCGTATTCATACAATAATTACAATTTTCACCAATTACCAGTAGATCAACTGTTGAAGTCTCAGCTTATTTCTCGAGATTTGTAAAATTCTGAACTACTCTTTTCATGTAAATGCATATATACACATGATATAACAATGTATACTTTTGTATGTATTGTTTGTTAATTTGTTGGGATTTTTCTTTACTTACATTATTGTTACATGTAATTCTGTATATTCATTTTGTAGTAATTTCATAGGATATATCTTTTACATTCTGAATACATGTATTACCGTTTAAAGGGATAGTGTCTTACAAAGAGTATTGATGTTTCAGAAGTCATGCTATATCTGCCCTTTTGTGACATGATTATATTTTATACTGAAAACTGAATTTTTCTGTTGGGAGCTTTTCATTGTGATACCTTGTGATCTTTCTGCAATGGAAGGATATTCTTTCATAGACTATAGTGATTCTGACACTAGACCAATGCCATTAGCTGTGATCCTGACTCTTTTTAAGCTACTGTATGTGATTTTGACACTCCAAGCATGTATAATAATCACTGAAATGAATAAGTGGCACCTTATACAATGTGGAAACCATCGAGTTGGATCTCTTCATTGACAGACTAATGTAACTTTTGCTCAAATATTTTTGAACATTTACTTGCTTGGATATGTGCCTGTCAATTTTCTAACTTGCTAATGCTAGAATTAAGTATGATAAAACTGGTCATAAAAATAGTAATTATACTTTAATTTCATGTTCTTTGTATTGTGAACTTCTTTTTAAAACATGCTGGTTGAAAACCTGTGTATAATTAACATACAATGCTTACAAGTTAAATAATTACATTACACAGTAGATGTTTGATTGTGAAACCTCAGATTTGTTGATTCAAATGAATTCCACCTAGCATGAAACATGTAGATTTTGTGACTATCAAGTAACTAATGATGACTTCTATTAGTTCAACTTCATTGTGTACAAAATGTATAATTTACAGGTAAGTATGGAAAGAGGAGGTCAATGGCCAGCCCGTAAAGGGAGGTAAACCTACCTCTTTCACAAAAAATGTTGGAAAAAATACTCTTAAATATGATAGCTCATGATATTAATGCATTTAGAATTCAAAGAAAAAATGCAGAAAAAAAAACTCCTTTAAGTTTTCAATAACATTCTTTGATTATGAGGTTCTGGTACTGCAATTATATAGACAAAATAAACATCATTAATGTCATTTAGTATTGAACAATTTAACGGCAAAATTATATGTATATGGTAAAATCTGAAAAACTTTTTTCTTTCTCAAGCACTTACACATAATCTTTCCCTTTTTCGTTTTTCGTAGGGAAAGGTTACATTTATTAAGTGATTATATTTTTTAAATGACCAACATAAGACACACATGTATATTATGTTTGGATTTTCATGTGAGTATATACTTAAATTTTTCCATGCTGTTTACTTTTCATATGTTATTTATTGTCATTTGAAATCTTAAACTTCAGATATAATTATAACGATTACTGAATACATGTTTTTGACGTTACTTTACATGTATATACAAGAAAGTTGTTAAACAACAAATGAGTATTATATTTCAAATTTTATGTACTAGTCTCAAATGTGTCAACATGATTTGATTTGTACCAGCTTGTTTAACATTTTATGTCTTATTTTCCCCCAAAAAGTTGCATAGTGTGACCTGCAGATTATCACTTAAGACTTACATAAGTTTCTTGTAAAGGAATAAAGTTTTCTAACACAATCATAATTAAGCGTTTTCTCTTATTGATGAAGGAAGCTAAATAACTGATTGTACTTGTTAATGCAGAATAATCTTGGAAGAGCTTTGAGGTCATAAAAGAAATAATTGTATATATCCAAAACCTTCATACTTCTAGGTATAAAGTACACATTTGGTCAGTGAAATTGAAATTCAAGCATCTCCATATTGTGTGGATTTAATTCAATTAATATAGTATAAGGCCATAATATTTCATGTCCGTATAAAGGCGAAAAAAAAAACTCTTAAAATTTGAAGAGCTGGACCAAGACGACTCAGGTGAGCGATGTGGCCCATGGGCCTCTTGTTTTTCTTTGTAGAGCAATTTAACTGTGCAACCCAAAGTAGGGGTTTAAATACCTTCTCTGTTTTAAAAGAAAAGCAGTGTCTGCAATGTTGGTTTTGCTTTAAAAGGTATAGCAAAGATAACAAACAGTGATCAATCTCATGAATATCTCTCTCTTTCTCTCACTCTCTCTTTCTTTCTCTGTATATTTTAAATTCACAGATATGGTTATCTTCAACGATTTCTCTCCGAAGAGCATATTACCTGTGCAAGAAATGCAGGTGTTTAAATTTCATATTTGTTAGAAAGAAAATCATTGTCTGCCTTGATGAAGAGGGTGAAGTGAAGATCACGAACAGTGATTAATATCATAAATCTCTCTCTCTCTCTCTTGAGCATGTTCTCTATAAAACACTATCTAAACAAAAAGCAAAATCTATCTCTCCCCTGTCTTTGTGTATACAAG